AAGGTTTGGCGACCTGTGGGTGGTCAGGAACAACCCTGGAAGGGTCCTTGGGCCCTTGTGTCAGAGGGCGCCCCCGCAGCAGCGGGGGCTGCGCCGCCTGGCGTTTCAAGCTCAGCAGCGGCGGCGCGATCAGAAGTTTCTACGATGCGCACCCGCCCAGGCGACTCGGTGGTGGATCCGAGCGATGACGAAGAGCCTCAGGAAGAGCGGCGCGATCAGCCGGCCTTTGGGGGCTGCGCGCCGCCCGACGACGTCGAGCGGCGTTGGTGCGTTCTTCGCGACACCGCCCCGCTCCAGCTCTTCTGCGAGCGTAGAGCGGCTGACGTGAACAGGCAGCGGAACGACAACGTGGGCAACCTTTCCGTCCTGTTTGGGAACTGGGGCCCCATGCCGAGCGAGACCAACAACGCGGACCAGCGGCGGAGACTTGAGTTGCAGCTGCGGCATTGCCCTGCTCTCGTGGCGTGCTTTGCGGAATGTGAGGAGCAGATGGAGGCAATCCTACAGCGGCCAGGGAAACCACCGCCGCTGCAGGCGGACGCCCCCGCAGCAGCGGGGGCGTCAGCAGCGGAGGGCCAAAGCAGCAGCAGCGGTGGGCCTTTTGTCGCCCCCGCAGCAGCGATGGCGACAGTAAGAGGAAGTCGTGCTGCGAGTGTGGGCGATTGCCAACAGCTCCAGAATCGACCAGAGTACGAATACTTGACCCTGCGCGGGCGTGAGGACAAGTCCTTGTGCATCGCTGCGCGCGCAAATCTGTGCCACGGAATGCGGCTGCTCCACTGGGAAAGGAGTGTCGACGGCCACTACAAAACTGCAAAAGGGAACAAGATGGAAGCGTTCTCGAGGATCATGGTGGTTGAGGTCTACTTCGATCAAACCTACGCCCACTTCGGCTCGGAAGTGCGGGTGTGCGCGGTGCACCTCCACCGCGACACGGCGAAAGCTTCCAAAGGCTTTAAGGAGGCTCACAAGACGTGGTGGCGGAGGCTGGCGGCCATCTTGCAGGAGAACAACGTTGACATCCTTTGTGGGGATTTCAACATGGCGCTCACACAGACGCTGCCGAGTCTTCGGGGTCTAGGCTTGCGATTGGAGACGGCAGCAGCGTACTTCTGGCGCGGATTGGACGGCGCTCCGTGCTTGGACAGCTGCGGCATCTTCGTTCTCAACAGGCCTGGCGAGTGCACCCTGCGCTGGCCGCTGAGCGCCGTGCACGACAGAGACGAGACGGGGTTGCTCTTCGCACGCAAGTCGGCGATCGGTGAGATCGCGCACCGTAACAGAAGCAAGGCAGAGGCCCCCGCAGCAGCGGGGGCCTCCACCAGCCCATCATCGGAGCCGACGTACTGGCACCACTGCCAGGAAGGAGGCCCTGGGATGCCTTACGATCGCTACTACCCGAAAAAAGACGCCCGCGAGCGCCCCCAGGATTTACTGACTCAGTCAGAGGAATGCCAACGCAAGATCCAAGAGAAGGAGCGTGAGAAACAGAGGCGCGCCGAGGCTGAGGCTAGAGGGGACCGCCGCTTCTCTAATTTTCGCGAGGTGACCCTCTTCCGCGCGTTGCAGAAGACGCTCCCGCCGGAGACCGCGGAGGTGGAGGGGCGCTGGCACGGCGGCGCCCACTACCCTCTCCCGTTCCAAATGCGCATGGCCAGCTTGCGTTCGCAGGGAAGGAAGCAGGAGAGAAACAAAGAGAAGAAGGACAGGCGCGCCCAGAATCAGCAAGCAGCTGCGCTCCAGGGCGCCGCAGCAGCGGCGCCCGAGCAGCACGGGCCCGAGCGCCAGGCACCAGAGCAGCGCCGCGAGAGGGACGAGCAAGGCGAGCGCGCCCAACAGGCGTGGCGCCCACCAAGATGGGCAGACGAAAACGCGGACGACGACCGCGACTGGCCCGCGGCTGGCGATGGAAGGTCGCGGCGGGGGGTTGAAAGGGGGAGGGGGGGAGAGGGGGGGTGGAGCACGGGGAGGGCAGGAGGGAGGAGAGGGAATGATGAATAGGCTGAGCAGGACGAGGGATGACATAAGGAAATGAGTGTCTGGAAGGGGCGGGAGTTGACAGGAAGGGGATAATTATAGAAATAGTTACTTATCACCCCCAAGGTGGCAGCCGACCCCGCAGTGGCCATCTCCAGGGCCTGCGCCGCTGGAGCAGCGAGGGCAAGGGTTGCAAGAGCAGCAGCCGCGGGAGGCGCCGCGGCATCAGCCGCCAGAGCCCCCGCAGCAGCGGGGGCCACAGACGCCACGGCAGCGCCCAACAGACGGGGAGTGGCGCAGGGATGAGTGGTGGCGTGCCAGGGAGGGCGAGGAGCGCGAGTGGCAACAGCCGAGCGGCGAGGCTTCCTCGCTGCAGGACCGCAGGGTCGACTCCGCCTGGCGCGACATGCAAGTTGCATTCGGCAGCGACCCGCGCCCCAGTGACTGGTGGAGCAGCCACAGTGGGCGGAGTGGCGGCCAGGGGCACTGGGAGGCCACGAATACGACACACTGGAGGTAGGTCGAACACCCCCCCGAGACCAATCCCTGGGGAGAACTTAATTAGCTGAACCATCGCACAGGGGCCGCCCCTCCGCAGCAGCGGAGGGAGGCCTCATCGGCCGAACGTCGACCCTCCGCAGCAGCGGAGGCCTTGCCAATGCATCGTGGGCGGCGGCGACTCGCGCGCGCCGTCGTGCTCGGCGACCGCTGCCCGAGCGGAGAAGGAAAAAGAATCGGTGCTTTCATCGGTGCTGTCGTTGCCTCCTCTCCTTCATCGTTTTCTTCTCCCTCCCCCTTCCAATCCCCCATCCCGCCATCGCATTTTATCGTCTCCAGTCGTATCGGGAGCTCCCGTGGCAGAAGAGCACCCAGAACGAGGTCCTCCGTGACAGAGGGGGGGCATCTTAGGGCCCCTCTGTGACAGAGGGGGGGGCCAAACAACAAATGATCACTTTAATGCGGCTTCTGGATTAACTGGGGAAACAAATACGCCGTCTCAAAGCGCCCCGTCGCTGAGCGAATCATCGAAGAGACAACTGCGCCTCGAGACTGGCTGGCAACCTTCGGCAAGGGTGCCTTGAGCGTGAAATGTGGAAATCACTCCTCGGAAAATGCATGGGCAAGTCAAGGTTGTTCCTGGGCACTCTGACAAAGCCACCGCTGAGTCCGAAACGACCCTGTATTTGTTGAGATATGACTACAAGTTTCACCTCACGGCTCACGGGTAACGGTCTGGACCGGTGGAGGCAAAATTGTGTAGGGCAGGGGGGGCGGACAGAGCCTGCCCTTAGGCTCCACACGTTACCAGGGCATACATACGGTTTGGCCCTGCTGTTGTTGCCATGGCTGTCCCGGCCGCGTGGCCGATACCAGTTTCGCGCCAAGTTCTTCAGAACGGCGCGCCGGCCCTGGCGTCGTGGCAGCGGCCGATTTTCGGCCACGCTCGTAGGACAAACGTGTATCCTCACCTCCTCTTCCACCTCCTCCCTTGTTTCCTGACGATCCCCGTGGCGGATCCGATAAGCAAACGGAATGAAAGAGGGACTGGACGCTGATCGATGACTATGGGGCCCTGGGCAGGAAGAGCCCGGGCAGGACGGAAGAGGCATTTGCACCAATATTGTTTTGCAAAGTGTATGGGGATTGCATGGGTGGAGATGCCGACGCGGGAGGCGACACGCACTCACCGCGCCAGCTGGCCACTAGGGGGCGGGACCGCACTCCCAAACTGTGGCCAGACTGGGGTTCTTATCAGTCCTGCCCCAGGCAATGTGTCAAGAGAGCGCAGGCTCTGCGGAGCCGTTTGCCTTCTGGACGCACGTGCATCTCCTGGAGGGTCACTCTCGCTTCATCTATGTACAACCTGCAGGTCTTCTGATTTGCCCACCTGCCTCGTGTAGTGGTGAGAGACAAAGGGCCGAATTTCTGAAAGTGAGCGGTGGCCACCCCTACGGCAGCTGTAGTGGCGCATATCCTCACCGAGCCCTAGCTCCCGGCAGGCTCGAGCGAAGGTTTGCCTCATGCAGTGGGCGGTCACGGGGTAAAGTCTGTCACCCTGTGCCCTACCCTCCCGTGCCAACAAAAACAACTTTATCAGCATGGGATCTCGCGAGAGAACGTGTTCACATGTCTGCCGTCGCCGCCGTCCTCCGCTCGTGAGGCCCAGCTCGAACAATACCTCATGCCCTCCAGGGGCCAGAGTGGCTGAGGCGACCTTGAGGCCGAAAGCTTCGCCGGTCCTCAAGATGCACTGGTAGGCAGTGTAGCAGAAGAAAGCGAAACCTACATTCCCCTCTCCTAGTGCCCAACCGGCCATGGCGCAAACCGCCTCGTCCCAGAGCGGCGGCGCGCGATTTGGAGGCTCGAGGGACTGCCAAGTTCCCAACACCCCCCAACTCTCGCGCAAGCTGCCTTTCAGGTTTTTCACCTCATTGGTCAGCCCGCTGAGAGTGTCGCCGGCCAGGGCCAAGGCATCGCCTTCCTGCCACAAATGCTCCAAGCATTCGCACACTATAACATCGAAGTCGCCCGTGTGAGGCGGCACTGGATGCGACATTCGGTCCATCCAGGCAAAGAAGCGTTTGACAGAGTCGCCGTATCTCCTCAGAGTCCCAGGTTTCAGTTAGTTGTTTCTCAGCGGTCCTAAGCGCTCCTCGACTCCCGACGCCGTGCTTGGTCACCTGCGGCCCTCATCCCGGAGGCCATCTTGATGGTGCGTCCGCTGGATTGTCAGCGAACGCTATTTAAATGAATGCAGGGACCAAGCTCGAGGCGAGGAGAAGGGCGTTGATACGTCTAAGAACCGCTTGCAACTGAAACGAACTGGAGCGCCCCTTAGCCAGAACGCTCATACAAGCCTGGGCATCCAACGCATGGGCGACGCGTCTGCCGAGCCCTTCGCCGAGCCCTCCATTTGATGGAACTTAAAACTGCCTTTTAATTCGAGTACGTTTACATGAGCACCCCCCAGGGGGTAGGACAGAATGACTTTCCAATTTCACCGCCCGGGGTCCAACCCTCTCCTAGGCCAAATGCCTGCGAACGTCCGAGCCTTTCAACATGGCCGAACGGTGGAGGAGAGCCACGGCTTCCTCCTTCAGCGAGCGCCCGCCGCCTCCCGAGTCAAGGAGGCGCCTCAATACTCCGTCGGCCGCCTCCTCCGCGAGCGTGCCCCAGCACTGGGCGAAGTCAGGCCTGGCCTCCAGCAGACCGTGCTCGTGCAACGCGGAGCCGAAGAGCCAGGCGATGCACGGGGCGTGGGAGCTGACCCCGATCAGCGCGCACCTGGCATCTTCTAGCTGGGCGGCCTGACTCTGACTCGCGCGCCCCAGGGCCCGCTTCGTGTAGCCCCTGGGGTAGCCCATCATGGCCTCCCTCTCGTTGGCCACCAGAGGGCGCAGCCTCGCCGCTGATGCCCCCTGCCTGCGCTGCCAGACGCAATTGGCCGGCTTGTACTGGCAGGGCGGGTACCGCATGCCATCGGCCTGCCACCGTGCCAACGTGTCCAGGTCGCAGTCCTCACAACCGGCCAGCCTATGCGGAGGGCGCTTCTTCCTCGCCGCCCTGGCGAAAGCTTCATACGACCCAGTGGTTGGTTCGTGAGGCCGAGCACCAGGCTCGAGGGCGGAGGCGGATGATGGCCAGGGGGCCTCGACGACCGCCTCCAATCCTCTCTGGGTCGTGCTCACCCTGGAGCGGCAACAGGCAGTGACTGACCAACCCCAACTCGTCCAATACAAACGCGGCCGCCTCACTGGGCCCGCCAGCCCCAGGCACAGGTGGAGCGGACGCTGGTCCAGAAGACCCGAAAACTGCTCCTCCGACTGCGCCCCCATGTTGGGCACTGACTTCGCGAGCCACAGGACCTCGCAGTATGCGAACGCACGCCGCACCGCTGCCACCGCCTCGACGAACCTGAACAGCAGGCTCGGGCCATGGCTGGGGGCACCCAGCACGACCACGATCAACGACAGGTTGCAAAACTTCCTGGCCAACGGGTCGAAAGTGGCCTGGCAAATACTTTCTGTGCCGCCGAGCTCCACGGCTTCGGGCCAGCGCGCCCGGATGACCCTGAGGGCCGCGTCGTCCACCTCGCTGCTGCAATACATGGCGGGCGTGATCCCCAGCAGGTGCAGGGCTTGCCTCGCGCCGCCGATCCCATCGCAGAGGCTATCCAAGCCGAGGCCGTCCGTCGCGCCTCGAGCGAGGAGCGCGTGGTCGTGGACGACGTCCAGGCGCCCGGTGGGTGTGAAGCCCCGGGATGCGCAAACGGCCCCCGCCCTGCTCGGAGGCGTCGGACGCCGTGACGACAGGGTCGATAGCCGACCTGAGAGACACAGCGAGCAGCGGCAGGTGAACAACGCACAGCCACAGCTCGGTCCTCACGAGCTCCGTGGCCGCGACCTTCCGACGCCGAAGCGCCGTCGTCAGCAGCGGCCAGAAGTGGACCAAAAGGCTCGACGCCTCCCGGCGGAACTGGAACAGATGCGTCCAATGGCCACCCAGCACCTGCAACTCCTTGGCGCTCCAGGCGTCCTTCGTGAGGACGTGCAGCGTCATGCCGATGATGCGGCCGATCCGCCTGGCGTCCGCGCCAACGACACCAGCCGCTCCATCGATCCGTGCACCCAGCCTTTGGGCGATCTGCAGTCTGTCGCCCGCCTTCTCCGCGGACGTCGGCACCTCGCGAGCGGCGTATCGGGCACGCGCCGCGTCGTAGTACGCGGCGGACCCGCCCGCCCTGGCCGCCTCCAGATCCTCCCTCGAAGAGAAAATCTCGGGCACGTCGAGGTCGTCCGCGTAGATCTGCCACAACGCTGACATGTCGCCGCCGCCCGGCAGTAAAGGCGGAACCGCGCGGTCCTTCCGGAGCTCCCTCGGGACGGGGAGGGCCCTTGATGGAGCTCCTGTCCGCATGAGGGGCTTGCGATGCAAGTATTGCACCAAGCCCATGGCGGACTTCCATCCCATTGGCAAGTTGACAGAGGCCAGCCAACGACGGCCATGCCCAGGCACCCCGAGCTCGGACGCCTCGTAATGCCAATTGAAAGCGAACAGGGGGGCCCAGGTCCGCCGCAAACGGAATAAGTAGAAGCACCCCTTCAAGTCCGGCCAGCTCCAGGCTAGCTCCTGCTCGCCCTCCAACATGATGAATCTCCACATCCCGAAATGCGGCAGGAGGTTGATGTCCCCCGCCCAGAGCTCCTGCACGCTGTTGGAGGCGGTCAAGTTCATAATGAAACGGAGCACGTCCTGGCCGCGCCGGCTGCTGGCATCGGGCCCCAGCTGCTCCCCCTTCGGGACCCCGAATACCCCGTTGAGGAGGAACCCTGAACCAATCTTGAACAGCTCGTGCTCCTCAAGAGCCACGCAAAGACCCCTCGAAATCAGCTCCTTGGCGATGACGAGGTCCTCACCAGGCTGGATCAGGAGCGCCCCCGCCTTCGGGGGGGCCTCCAGGGCGTCCAAGTCCAGCAGGCACCAGCGCGGGTTCTCCAGGAACTCCTTGACGACGCCCTCGGCTATCTTTTCAGCTGGTATGCTTGCGCAGTGCTCGGGGCGCGGCAACACCGGAAGCACCTGGGGCCACGAGAGCCTCTGGGCCCGCTCCACGGCGCTGCCGTCATAGGCAATGCGCGCGGACTTGAGGCTCGCAGCCCAATCCTCGCACGGTACGACCACGTCCAGGTCCAGGAAATAGTCGACCTTCTGCGCGAGCAGGTGCAGAGCCATGGACTGCGCCTTCGATGGGGTAGCTCTCGGTCGCTCGATCGCTCTGCTCTTCAGGAGCCGCGGGTCGTAGCCACCGTAAAACAAGTTCGACCCCAGTGTGAGCAGCCAAAGCCACGACCACACTCCTGGCTCAGCAACTTGTCGCTGGAACTCTTCCGAACGATCTCCCATGTGCCTGGCATACTCCTCCGCGGAGCGGGTGACAATCGGCAAAGGGAGTAGATCACGCCCGGCATATTGCGCTGGCCCAGCCCCGAATCAAACCGTCTGCGACGCAACCCAACGAAACCCTACCACTCGACACGTCCTGCTGCAGAGTCACGCCGAAGTCACGCAGGTTCTGGCCTGCCCACGCTGCTGCTGCAACCGCCGCCGGGCGCGCTGCCGAGGCCGAGCCCCCCGCAGAGGCACTGCAGCGGCGAAAAACCGGGGCCGGTTTTGGCCCCTGGGCACCCCCCGGAGCGAGAAACCGGGGCCGGTTTTCTGGCTGCGGAGGGGGGCGCCGCCGCCACGAGCGCGGCCCTCACCGAGACGCCCAGGGAGGCTGGGGCTCCCCTTAAAATTGGGGACGACCTCCCGGGCGGCCACCCGCTGCGCCCTTCGGGGCCCAGAAAGCCCGGGACGCTCCGCTCCTCTTGGGCTTCGCGCCACGGCGCCTCTTCATGGCCGGCGGGCGCCCTGGACCTCCACCTGCTGCCTCGGTGGCGGGGCGCGGCTGGTCGTGACGGCTCCCGTCCACTGCGCTCGGCGGGGCCTGTGCTGGCACGCTCGCGCGTCGACCAGAGTCCCGCCACGGGGCGCCAGCGGCGGCGGACTGCGAGGGCCGCCAGTCGACGGCACCTGCGGCGGCGAGGGTGCTGGCTGGCCGCGTACGCGACCGTGCGGGGGTGGCCTCAAGGCCGGCGACCCGCCACAGTCGCCAGCCCGGCCGAGTCCCTAGCCAGGCCTCGCCTTGGCCTTGGCGAGCAAGTCCTTGAACTTCCGATCCTCGTTCTCCTGCCGCACGGCCACCTCTCTCTCGCGACCCGGCAGGCTGGAGACCGCGCTGTCCCCAATTACCTCGAGGTGCCTGGCCACCGCCCAGCCCTCCTGGTGCGACGCCTCCACGGCACGGAACCTCTGGGCCAAGAGGTCCCCGGCCTCGCAGATGCGTCCGGACAGCAAGTGGTCGATCGCGGGCGCAGGCGTCTTCAGCTCGCGCGTGTTCCGCAGCCCGCGGCCCCCCGAGGCTGGCAGGAGCACCGCCGTGAGGTAATTACGTGTCCACGAGCGGCCTGAGCCCGTGGGGATCCTCGTCCCCGCCCATGCGGCCCAAATACGTCTGGATCTTCCTCAGGAACGCCGTCAGGACCGTCAGGAGGACGCCCGGCTGCCGTCGCGCGGTTTCTGCCGCGGGTTCCTGTGACGACCGCTGGGCCCGGCGAAAACTTGACCCCAAGCTAGATGACCCACGCGAACAGCTCCTCGAGCGCCTCCGCCAGCGCCCGCGCGACCTGTCGCGGGTCTTCCTGCCTTGCCTGCCGGCCCGCTCAATGGCCCTCTCGATCAAACGATCGTGGACCGTGTGGGCCCCTTCAGCTCCCTGATCTGCGCTCCTCACGGTCAGGCCCACCTGACCCAGCAGCCCCGGAGCCACCAGGGTCGATGGAGAAGTGGAGCCCCGAGGAAGCAGCCGACCGGCCACCAGCTTCCCCTGGAGCCTCGGGCCCGTGACCGGCCCGCCGTCTCACCGCCGCCAGCCGCCAGCTTATCCCTGAGCTCAGCCACGCATGCCATCGCCGGATCCCTGGTTGGAGGGGCCGTGGCAGGACGACCCGTGGCGAAGGCCTCCCCGACGCGATGCCCCTGCATGGTCTGGGGCTGGCGGCTGCTCCAACCGCGCGTCCACGGCCTTCGGCTTCTTCGAGGGCGGGCCGTCCCGAGGATGGTCGGCGCCCCCGCCGTCGTCAGGCCAAAGCTGGAACTCGCCGCAATGGAGCGTGGCCGCACCAGCCGGGCTCAGCACCTTGCACTCGGAGGTGGCGCTGCGGCAGCAATGCACGTACAGGGCGCCCTTCTTAATTAACCAGCTTCCCCATCTCCTCCGTGAGAGCGGGGGAGCTGGCCTCCACGAAATCGACCTTGTAAAAAGGCTCTCGGGACTGGGCGGTATGCACCCACTCCAGCCAACGGCGCCTGCCATTGGCGCTGAGCTCCACAGTGACGCTCCCAGCCGGGACCAACAGCTCGAGCCGAGCGGCCCTGCCCATTGCATCGATCGTCTTCGGCCGAGTCGACCTCCATGCCGAGACCTGTGACTGTTTCGGGCTCGGGAGCCCAGCGCCCAGCGCCAACCGCAGCGGCGGGCCTACTCCGCGGGGCCGAACCCGCGCGGTGCGCGCGAGGAGCCGGGGCTGCGGCCGGCTGGGCGCCGCCACGGGGTGCGCCGGGGCGCGCAACCGCGGCTGCCTTCGCCCTAACAACCAGCCGTGGGGCCCCGGCGGCGGCCGGCCTCCGCTTGGGCGCCATCGGGAGGGCCCGCGAGCCTCTCGGCCAGCACGCACTCGAGCAGATGAGCCAACCCGCGCAGCGCCTCTATGGTGAGGCGGAGGTCGGCCGCTGACTGCGGCCGGAATTGCCGCCAGAGCTCCAGCGCCAGCGCCCAGGCGGGTAGGCGGGAGATGACCGCCAGCTGGCCGCGGCGCTCTTCCCTGGGACGCTCACGCTCCCTGGGCATGCGCGGCCCCGGTGGCCGCTGGGGGTCGCTGAGCTGGGGAGGCGATACCGCGCTCACCCAGCCCAACAAGTACACCGAGAAGGCTGCACCGCACTTCCCGGAAGCACTGGGCCATCAAAACTACGGAAGTTGACGAAGCAGGGGAGGGTTCGCACAATAATTCGGGGGGGATATCATACATATATACATATATTCCTATAATTAAACATCCTGTAAAAAAAATCCCCCCCGGATGCCCCCCCCCCCCCCACATACCTTCTTGGACGGCCGCCCTTGGCCCCCGGGCCCCTTTCCAGCGGACTTCCAAGCCCTCCAGGTCACCGAACGATGGGGCGAAACGCTCTTAATGGCCCCCCAGCGGCCCAAGACGCCCGAGGACGGCGGCCTAAGATAGCCTCAGATGACACCGCGACCGCCCCGAGGCGACCCGAGCCGCCCAAGAGGCACCCAAGAGGCCCCCCAAAAGGGCCCCGTGAGGCCAAAATAGCCCCATTCCCATCGTAAAAGGTACATTCTCGACATATTCGCCTCTTGGCCTTTCATAATGTCCAAGTCGGCCCAAGAGACCCCCAAGACGGCCCAAGAGACTCCCAAGAAGGCCCCAAGACGCCCAAAGAGAGCCCAAGAGTGCCTCAAGGGCCCCAAGACAGCCCAAGAGACCATCTGGACGGGCCGCACAGGCGTCCCAGAAAACGAAAACCAAGTTAAAATTTCAAGCCTTCGGCTTCAAGAGGCCCATAGGATGCCCCCAGAGGCCCCCAAGAGGCCCCACGGGGCCCCAAGAGGCCCCTAAGCGGCCCCCAAGAGGCCCCCAGGCGGCCCCCAAGAAGCTCCCATGAGGCCCCCAGGACGCCCCAAAAAGCTTCCAAGAGTCCCCTCCCCGGACGCCCCGAGCCACTCCTGGCGATCGCGAGGCTTCTGACAAGGAGAGGCGACGAACGGCCTTCCTGACGCGCTCTTGGGCCGTCTTCGAGCTTAAGGTGCCCCAATCAAGGCCCAACAGGTCCCAGAAACACCCAAGGATAGCCTGGGGTTCCCAAGAGACCCTCCAGAAACAACTGACCGGGAGACGCACCCAACCCTTTGCACACAAGAGGGGACTATACCCAGGACCGTTCATTTCCAACTTACGCCTTGAAGGATTCGCAGTATCCTTGAATGCTTCGCCAAAGAACGTGAGGCCGCATACCAGTGTTCCCCATTCACGGCATCACTCTTGCGACTCATATCATCGGAAAGAGGGCGATCACGATCGGACAAAAGAGCAATGACGAGGGGGCCACGAACGTGGCGACAGCTTCGCTGTTCGAAGCCCCCCGGGACGGCGAGGCCTCATTCTGGTCTGCGGATCACGCCACTCCGCTGGACCCGCCAGCGGCCCACGAAGGTAGCGACAGTTTCGCACATCGCAGCCCCCCACTTGTTCCCTCGTTCCTTTCCCAGTTGATCCTTCTCCTCTTCCTCCTGTTCTGACTCCCTCCTCGTCCTATCTCGCCCTCCTCGTGTCATTCTCCTCCCCCCTCTGTCCTCTCATCTCTCTCTCTCTCTCTCCCTCCTCCTTTCCTCCTCACCTTCCCCGACCGTCTCTCTCCCTTCTTGCTCGCCCTCCTCTCCTCTTCTTCCCTATCGGTGACTATGGCCTCGTCGCGGTATGTCGCCGTCTCCCAAACACAGGAATGCTTATGACCCGTCCGGGAATTATGACCGCGACCCCTCTCATGGTCATCATGCGCTTGCAGGCATCATTCATTCACCGAGTGTTTGGGTGCGCATGGGCGCAGGACCAAGATTGAGGCGAAGCGAAGCGAGCCCTCAGATATTGTATATATATGTATATATATGTATATATATATGTATATATGTATATATATATATATATGTATATATATCTTACCCGAGGATCTTGCAACGAGCCACGTGCTTGGAGAGCCGATCTCCAAGGATCTCACGCTCCCAGGGGGCGGTGGATGCAGGTGTCTTGAAGCCTACAGTCTGCTGCAGGTTATCCGCCGCCCTCGAGTTCTTGGGGTGTGGATGCGTGTATTTCCTGCCTCGCACCGTCGCGGTCGTCGCCGCCGCCGTCGTTTGTCTTCGTCATCGTCGTCGTTTGCCGCCTCCGCCGCCGTTTGCCATCGTCGTCTGTCATTGTCGTCGTGGCCGTCGTCTGTTTTCATCGTTTGTTTTCATTGCCGTTGTCGTTTGCCGACCCGTGGTCTGCCTTCGTTGTCGTCTTCGTCATCTGTCTTCGTCGTCCGTATTCGTATTCGCTGCCGCAGTCGCCTTCGTCATCTTCATCATTTGTCGTCGTTGTCGATTGTCGTCGTCCCCCGTGTGCGTCGTCGTCGCCAGTGTTAGTTCACGTTCTTCGTCGTCGTCGTCGTCGTTCGTCGTCGTTCGCGGGCACGTCGACGATTAATGTGGATGGTGAAGGCGAGAAGGAGGAGGGAAGGACGATGATAAGGACAAAGGACTACGTAGAGGACGAGCTGCAGGAGGAGGAAGATGAGGAGGACGATAGCCAGGAACACTTCCCCACGCGCATCGAGGAGGTCAATAGGAAAGGGGCAGGACAAGGAGACACGTGTGCGGAGCGAGGGGACTCGTGCAGAGCGAAGATCGCGTGTAAGTCAGCATCGTGATAATCAACGCGGTCCCCGTCTTCAGCGCAGTACCATCGTGACACCGTTCGTCTCATCCTGGCTGGCGCCATCATCATCAGCCTCGCACTCATGATCAGAGTCGTCTCCATCCTTAGCCTCCCTGTCTGAAGGCTCGAATGGTTTCGCTCCGTGGTCTCCCCGCCATCATGGAGTGACCTTCTCGCCATGCGCGTCGTGCGCCTCCTCCCTCTGGCGGTCTCCGCGAGCGCGTTTGAACTACCATTCGAGCTGCCAGAGCTGCCGTTCGTTGGAAAGCTGTCCATCGAGAAATGCGATCTGTCCAAGTGCCAGGGCACCCTTGACGACTGCTGTGAGGCTGACGGCCAGGGAGCTTGTTCTGACGACTACACCCGTGTCCAGACCGAGGTGGAATGTGGTCAAGGCCTCCTCGAGTATGCGTGTTGCGACCCAGCGGCAATCGGGAGGCAGAGTATGGTCGAGCTCGGGGTTTACGTCCTGCTCCTCGTGTCCTTCTGTGGCTACGTGTGCGCATTCTGCTGCTTCTGCTCTGGAGCTGGGGGAAAAAACAGATACTGGCATCGCCACTTCCCGGACCCACCCCCCTCCGGGGTGCAGCCTGACCAGACCAGGATTTCGAGGCGAGCGTTGCCGTGCCGCGACGAGGGCCCTCCAGGCTGACAAGCAGTATCTGTCGTTCCCCCCCCGAGGCATGTTTGACATGTGCTGCGCCAGAAGATATTACCTGCGCGGGAAGAAGCGCAGCGGCAGAGAGACCTCCACCCCCGGAAGAGGCTCGACGGTCTCGAGAAGTTCTTCCGCGATCGGAGAGTTGTCCTACGGGTCGTCGACGCACACGGGGTCGTCCTCGCCCTAGCCCTGGCGGCGGCAGAGGCATGTCTTCGGCGCGCTCCCGTGGCCTTCTGGTATGCCCGCGCCTTCTCCTGCTCAGCGGCACCGTAATGGGTACTCACTGACGGGTCTTTTGGAAAATTGCCGAAAGTTGCCACTTTAGGGTCTCTTTCTGGCACGCAGCGTTCCCCACAACGGGGGGGAGTGGGTTCCCCGGGCTATTGGCCAAAGTGCACGTTAGTGGTGTCCCCGTTAGAAGGGCGCTGATCTGCCCGGACAGTGCTTCAGACACCAGTCGGCGGCCCGCCCAATGGGGAAGGGAGGGGGGGGGGCCAGCCTTCCAAAGCAGGTTAGACGACTTTTCGTAGAGTCCTCCCTGCTTTCCAGTCGTCGTCCTCGGGCTTTGGTTCGCAACGAGGCCTCTCACAAGCTGGCAATTGGCACCCAGACCTATGCGACCAACGGATTTCTCGGGGTGGACTTCCAGTGGGGGCTATGTGTGTGTGTGTGTGTGTTTGTGAGTGTGTTGATGAATGGGGGTGCCCGCTCGAACGGGAGCCCCCCTCAGGGCCCGACAACTCGCACCCATACCTATAGCGCTTCATCGCCTTGCCCTTCCCCACTCCTCCTCCTCCTCCTCCTCCTCCTCCTCCTCCTTCTCCTCGGGAAGGTGCTGGCGCTCCTCCTCCTTTTTTTCCTCTTCCTCCTCATCCTCCTCCTCCTCTTTCTCCTCCTCCTCCTCCTCCTCCTCCTCCTCCTCCTCCTCCTGCTCCTCCTCCTCCTCATCCTGCCTCGGCTCGCCATCCGCTTGCGGATTCCACCAAAGTTCGGCACACCGCTCACCCGCTTCGCCCCTACAGGGGGAGCGCCACCCACGGCCCCAGTGGGCGCGGGCGCATGCCGCCCCGCGCCCACTGGGCGCAGACCTCTGCAGCCCCAGTGGACGCAGACTATGCAGCCCTGCGCCCATGTCGGCACACGCCTCATGCGCCTCGTGCCCCCCAGAAGGAGCTCCACCTAGGGTATCAGCGGAGAGTATCGCATGCCGCCCCACGCCTTCTACGGCGCACGTCACACGTCTCGTGCTCCCCACAGGGAGCTCCGTCGTAGAACCCGGAGAGCGGTATCTCAGGCTGCCCCACACCCACTTCGGCATCTCCTTGACACGATTGGTGCCCCAACTGAGAGCACTGGGAGCTCCAGTTGCAGCGCCTTCGGGCAGTATAGCATGTTACCCTCAGCCCATGTCGACTCACCCCTCACAAAGATCGCAGAGACTGGCTCCTCCTGCCGCGTCCCCGCCCATGTTGGCACATCCATCACGCGGACCGCGCCTCGCAGGGAGTTCCACCTACCGCACCGGGCAAGTTCGCATGGCCTTCCGCCGCTCACACTGGCGCACCCCTCACGCGGGCCGTGCCCCACAGGGAGCTCCACCTGCGGCCTCAGTGGGCGCAGTCGGCCCAATTCGGCGACGCCCTCACGCGGGTCGCGCACCACAGGGAATTCGGTGCGCCTCTGCGCACCTGGCCCGCAGGCCCCTGTCCGCACTGCCTGGCGGCGCGCGGCATCTCAAAAGGGGAGCACATCCTGGGGCCACTTACACGCAGCTTCCGAGGGTGGGGCCCTTCGCCAGGCTCCATTGATGGCTCAGGGGCTTCGAACTTCCCCATGCTGAAACTTCCAGTCCAGAACTTCGGCTCTGCACGTGGCGCTGCGGGTTCTGTGGCCTGGCGCACTTCGGCGCGACACACTTCTGGAGGGGGAACAAGAACACAAACACAATGAATCGTCGATACCCAGGAAAATATATGGAAACATTGGCAGGGGTGGGGGAAGACGAAAACCCAGAAAGATATGTAGGACAATACAGGGGAGTCCTGGAATTTGTGTGTGTGTTTATTTGCGTGCCCCTGGGCCCCTTCAACTCTAGTCCTCGCAGATGGGGTCCGAGCAGATGGGGTCGGAGGATCGCACCGCATCGCCGATGCATCGACGATGTGGCTCGATGTGGAGCCCACGTTTTCCACGTTGACGCCGCCGATGCATCGCCCACGTCGCCGATGCATCGTCGGTGCATCGCCGATGCATCGCCGATGCGTCGCTGGTGTATCGGCGATGCGGCGCGATCCTCCGATCCCGTCTGCTCGGACCCCATCCTGGAGGCCCCCATCCACGCTGCCCACCCCCAGGCGTCCAGGCCCGCCCGCCCCGCGAGGCGGAGCGGCGCGCCATTTCCGCTCGCAGAGGGCACGGCGTGCCGCCCAGGGCGCCGCAGCGGCACACGGAGCAGAAGTTCCCGACCACGGCTGCCCAGAGACGGAGGTTTTTCGCTAATTTCGGCCCCCAAGGGCCCTCGCCGGGCCTCGGGAGCGTCAAAATACGACTCGGGATGAAAAGCTGGTCCTGGGGAATGGGTCGAGTTCAGTACACGTAGCCTTAAATCCGACATGTCCCTCTACAGGAGGAACATTCAAAAGTAGTCAAGAAATAGTCAGGGGACGATGTTTGGATTATGTTTGACAATTGTTGAGCATTTGTTTTGACTATTTTGAATTGTTCGTCCAGAACCCCCCTGTAGGAAGACGTGCCCGGCCTAACGCTAAGCAGAGGTTCCCGACCACAGCTGCACACACAACGGCGATCCTGGATGACAAGAGCTGATCTGATTCCAGGGAAAGGGTCGGGACTTCTGGGGCTCCGTATTGCCAAATTCTGTGGGCATCGAGCGTCTGGGGACCTAGAGCTGCGGTGACCTCGGAACCAGGACCCCCGACGCGATGAGTTATCCGGCCGTCGGCCCCATAGAGATCTCGACCCAATCCCCGGGACCAGCTGTTCGTCCCGAGCCGTTTCTTCAGGCCTCTGGCCCTGGCGAGGGCTGCCAGAGGCCGCAGTTAGATAAGCACCTCCCGTCGTGTCTTTTTCAGGGCTCGATGGGGCCTGGGCGCACCAAAAGGTGAACGCCATCCCCGCGTGGCCGAGCCGCCTGGATGTCTGGGGGGCGTGCTTGCCGGCGGGGAGCAGATGCGCCGCCCCCAGGCGAGGGAAAGACTCCAGCGGGCACGCCCGGTGACACATGGGGGGTCGGGCGTCTCTTCATGGAGGGGGGGGAGCAAGGTGCACTTCTCGGGCCCCAAAGTCCCCCTCGTGGGCCAGGGCCCTTGTTGGGAGCCCCAGGAGGCTCCTTTTCTGCAGCCCGCGCTGCCCCCCCCCCCCCCCCCCACTTGCCGCCCCCCCATTAAGTGACGCTTCAGTGCGGGGCAGGACAGGGACGGGGCCAGACTGGAGCAGGGGGGCAGGGCAGGGACGGGGAGGGAGGAGAGGGGTCGAGGAGGGGAAGGGGTCCTAAAGATCTGGCGCTCCGTGAAATCGGAGCGGGCGGTTTTTGGCAGTTTTCGGCCTCCGGGGGCCCTCGCCCGGCCTCGAGAGCGTCAACAAACGACTCAGGACGCAACACCTGCCCTGTAGGAAGTGGTCTGGACCTCAGGGCCCCACGCATCAAAAAAATATGAGGAAACGGGTGTCTGGGACAGGGTGGTGGGACGCTGGGCTGGCATGAGCGCGCACGCTGTGCTCTGTCGGAACAGGCTGCATTCAACAGCACTGAACCGAATGTGAGCAAACCTGCGAGGCCCAGCACCGAACATGGAAGCATCCACAGGGACGGTGCCTGGGCAGGGAAGCGACAAGCCAGGGCAGAGGGAACCTGGGAACCTGGGGAAGGGAAAGGGGAGGGAAGAGGGAGGAAAGGGTCCCATGCCTCAGAGGAGAGAGAGAGAGAGAGAGAGGACCATCGCCACCGAGAACCCATCGAGGGCGCAGAGAGAGGGACCACCGCCTGGAGCTTCACCCAGTACCAGACGACGCTAAGGCATTCCAGCCAAAGGGTCGCCCCCCCGCCCCCCGGATGTGTTCTTGGCGGCCGTGGTTGGCTTCTGTTTCTCCTCTGGATACTTTCAACGCTCTGAACACATCAACACTCAGATTTCCTATACTTTACTTTCGACATCTGAGGCCTGTTTTCGGTCTCCAGGTCACCGGGCAATATTGATACGAAAACATGGTTCCCGGGAAGGGGGTGAGAGGTTTGAGGGCCCCGTGTTGAAATAGTTCACCAAGGCTCGGGATGTCTGGCGTCACGGGACGGACAGGCAGAGGGAGAGAGGAACGGGATTTTTCAGACAAGGATCTGAAGGTTCCCCGACTGACGGACCTCATACTGGAAGTTGTGAGTCCGTCGCAGATTTTCAGACTGATAGACTGACGGCCCTTCGCAAGTCGCCCTGTTGGCGAATCATGTCGCAAACGTGCCACCGTATCCCTCATCGTCTTGATCACAACGCTGTCCATCTTGTCGTTGTTAACACGCATGCCTCAAACCATCGTCGTATGTGTTGTATCGTCGCTGAATATCTCTTTCATTATTTGCTACGAAGCGTCGAACATGCCAGGTTATATGCTATCCGATGTTACGCTTCAAGAGCCGCGGAGCCGATTGTGTGGGTCATGTTGTCCGCTTCGTGCATGGAGGCTTTGCGGTCAGGATGTGGAGCAGTCGAGTCATCGACGCATGACAGCGTGGTCGATTCCGCGGGCACTCGTGCGCAAGCTGCCGGAGTAAGAGCGCGCGCAGGCGCTCTCGTTACCACGTGGTGCTCCGCGCCGACGACCTGCGTGGAGGCATCGCGGAAGGTTGCCGCGCCTTCGCACGTAAGACCCGTTATTGAATCGCTTCGCTCATTCCGCCGGCCCGTGATATGGCATCGCTGGTTTTTGTCTGTGTGTTCGTTGCCCATGTTGCGCTCTTGGGGGCGGGTGTCGTTCGGACGCGTTGCGTGGGGAGTTTTGATGGTGAAGCAGTTCCCTGGGGGTCGTCTCTCGATGGGGCGAAATAGAGTCGTCGTCAAGATGCTTCTTTGGGGGGCCTCTTGGGGTCTGTTGAGAGGCCGTTCGGGGGCGCCTGGGAGACATGTTTGAAGCCTTCTGGGGCTTCTTTTGGGCCTCCTGGGAGTCTCCTGGGGCCTCTTGGCGACATCTTGGGGCCTCTTGGAGGCCTCTTGGGGCCTCTTTGGGACCTCCTGGGCGCCTTCTGGGACGGAGGGCTCCATTTTTGAGTTCTCGGTATCCCTCCTGAGTCCCTCTTGGGCCCGTCTTGGGGCCTCTTGGTCCGTCTTGGGCGGCACTTGGGCCGTCTTGAGGGCTCTCTTGGGTCGTTTCGGCGCCGTCTTGGGAGCTTCGTGGGCCGTCTTGGAGCGGTCTTGGGGGCCTCTTGGGCCGTCTTGGAGCGTCCGGAAGCCGAAAAAGCCAGAACACAAAAAACATCGAAAAAACCAATGAAAATCAACGATTTTGGCCTCTTGGGGCTCTCTTCGGAGGCCTCTTGGAAGGCTCTTGGGGCGTCTTGGAGGCCTCTTGGGCTGTCTTGGGGGCCTTTTGGGCCGTCTTGGGGTCATCTTCGGCGTCTTCGAGCGCTCTTTGGGCGTCTCGGGGGCCTCTTGGGCAGTCTTGGGGGCCTCTTGGGGCACTCTGAGCGCGCTCTGGGGAGCCTGAGAGGCCGCACCCAGAAGGAAAACCATCTCTGAGTAGACTTGGTCGGGCGGCGACCGGGCGTTGGTCAGGGTACTTTTCGCCGGGGGACCCCCAGGGGCCGCCCCGCGCGCGCGAACTAGAAATACTGTTAATACTGTTAACCAGTTACCGGAGATCTTAGCACGCCCTGGCCCGTTGGGCCGGCGAATTTTGTTTATCATTATGTTTCTTCTTCTTCGCCACTCCAGCGTCAAGAGTGGACTCTCGACCTTACCCTGTGACTCGCCCCATGCTGCCCTCCGCCCCCCCCCGCGCCCCCTGCCACCAAACCACGCGTTCGTCTTGTCCCGCTGCTTCCTTCATGCCGACTAACTCTCGGGACTGCAGACGATGACGACGGCAGCGGCGACGGCGGCGGCAACGACGACGACGACGTCGGTGGCGGCGACGACGGCGACAACGTTGACGACGGCGGCGGTGGTGGCCATGGCAACGGCAAAGGCGGCGACGAGGGGGCCCCGGGGCCCCGAAGGAGCTCAGGGCCAGCACCCGATCCGACCCGATCCTCGATCCTCGAGCCTCCCCCCTCGCGAGGACGGGCAGCTGGCCGCCGCCGCCGGGGCCCCCTCGCGGCGGCGGCGGTGCCCAGCGCCTGCGCGCTCCTGGGCTGCTGCCGCAGCGGCCCGCGCGCCAGCGCCGCGGCCTTCGTGGAGTCCGCCGCCGGCAGGGCCCGAGGCGGGCTCGCCGCCGTCGCCGTCCTCAGCGTGGTTGCCGCAGCCGCCGCCGTCGCTGCCGCCGTCGCCGCCGCCGTCGCCGTCGCCGCCGTCGCCGTCGCCGTTGTTCGTCGTCGTTCGCGTTTGAGTTTGTCGTCGTCGTCGTCGTTGTTCCCGTTCGTCGTCGCTGTAATTCGCGTGCGTCGTCGTCGTCTTCGGTTTCGCACGGGTGCTGCCGCAGGCGGCCCTGGCCGCCAGAAGTGGCCCCCCTAGCCTCTGCAAGAAGGCCCAGAGGTTGCCTCCAGAGCACTGCTACCACCGTTGCCATCAACGTTGCTGCCGCTGCCGTCACCGACGTCATCGCTGCCGTCTTTGCCATCGCCGCCGCAGTCGACGCGTTCGCCAGCGTCGCTGGCGTCGTCGTCGTCATTCGCGTTCATCGTTGCCGCGTTCGGAGTCATCGTTTGCGTTCGTCGTCGTCGTCGTCGTAGGAGGAGGAGGAGGAGAAGGGGTAGGAGGAGGAGGCAGATGAGGAGGAGGAGGAGGAGGAGGAGGAGAGGGAGGAAGGAGGGGAGGCGGAGGTGAAAGAGACTGATTGAGAGTCGGGAGGGGAAGTGAAGGGGACGTGGTGTTGTGAAGTTCACAGAGGTTTCAGGGCAGCCAGCTGAGCTGGGGTCATGGACCCCTGCCTGGCGATAAGCAGACTATGCCCCTTGCTGAATTGGGAGGAATCACTCAAGCGTTAAGGCACACCAGAGGGACTGTCACGTTTGCGGTAGACTCGTTTATACGATACGTATCTACGATACGTATCTTCCAGAGGGGCCGTAACTTTGTGTCCTCAGCGAATGTTGGCCCGTGGCGTAGGTTCTGGGCGGAGGCGGGGGACCGACAGATTCGTATGGTGAAGGTCAAAAGCCACACCCGCCCCGCTCCCGAACGGGGAGACGGACCACCTGTTTTGTTTTGGCTAGCCAATGGGGCCGCAGATGCGGCCGCGGAGGAAGGAGTCCGGAGAGCCCAACTCCCTAGCCATGTGGTCGCAGAGGTGTGCCGTGTAGATGAGCTAACGCACAAGGTGCAAGAGCACCTCGTCGCAGTGGCCCTTCACATCGCGTCCCGAGCACCCGAGCTGTATGGTCCCAGCTCCAAGGCCGCGAGGGCGGCCGAAGCCAAAGTCAGGGGCCGTGAGCGGGCGCTCAAGGTTGAACTGGCGGCGGCTGTGTCGACCCATCGGGCCGTCACGGACTCGAAGGGTGTCAGATGTGCCATTTGCCAGTCTCGACCGACGGCTGATTTAAAGAAGTTGGACTGGCTTGCAACCCCCTGCGCCAAGGTCCCGCAAGGCATAGATCCCTCGCATAAGCTGGAGTTTTGCAAGGGAGCTTTCTGGTGCCAAGTCTGCGGAACCACTGGGACGCGGGGGAAATTCGTAAAGCTGGGGGGAGAATGCCAACCCGATCGCGTGGGCGAATGGGGCAGGCGCGTGCTCAAAGCCCTGACAGCAGGGAAGCTCCCCCCAGGATATAAGGTCTGGCCAGAGCCAGACATGTAAGTTTTGGTTTCGGCGCGCCCGCTCATGGGGGGGACACGCGCTGCAGGTCTGGACTTGGACGAGGGGGGAGACGGGAGGGGGAGAGGACGGGGGACAACGACACGACACTCTTCGTCCCACCTGATCCTTCCCCATTCTTCCCAGATAACGTTCTCCACATGCCTCCCCCCTCCCACCCTACTCTCCTCCTCTCCTCTCTCTCTCCCCCCCTTTTTCCCTTCTCCACCCTCCCCTCCCCATCCGGCCTCCTCACTCCTCTCCTCCACACTGTACCCCCCCTGCACCTCCTCATCCCCTCTTCTTCCTTCTATTGAATTATTTCTCCTCTTCTCCTTTCTGGTCCTCCTCTTCCATTCCGGTTCCTCATGCCCACTCCCTCCTCACATTCTCCATTTTCGAGCGCCCCGCCGCACTTTACTCTCTATCAAGCACACCACAGCAGCGAGGGGACATGCCGCCAGCTTGCGGACAAGTTTGCGCGGGCTGAAATACTCGTTCCACTTCCCTTCTTTTCCCTCCGCCTCGCTTCTCCGCCCACCTCCCTCCCCTCCTGTTTCGACTCTCGGTCCCTCCCTGTCCCCTCCCCCCGCCCTCCTACCGCCTCCCTCCTCCTCCCTCCTCGCGGCTTCTCAGCGCAGCCGCAGCCGTGGGGGCCCGAGGGAGCGAGGGGAAGAGGAGGGGGAGGAGAAGGAGGAGGACGCCCTCCTGGTGATGCTGTCCCTGCGGCGGTACTACGAGGCGCTGGAGAGGCGAGAGCTGGATGGGCGGCCCGTGGGCGCGAAGGACAGGAGGGAGTGGGAGTCGCCATGTGCTCCCTCTCTCTCCTCAGCCTCCCCTGGCCCCTGGCGTGAACGCAGCGGGTCCTGCTGTCCCGGAGGTGCTTCGGCCTCGTGGGCGATCCGTGGCCCTCCACGAGTCACAGGACCGTCAAGACGTTCTCGGGATGAAGAGCTGGTCTTGGGAAGGCCCTGGGATCTTGGCTCCCGTTTCCCTCGACGCCCGTTTCCTCCCCTCGTACTCGTGTTTTTGTTCCTCATCTTCCTCTTCCTTGTCGTGATCTTCCCCGTCTTCGTCCTCTCGAGGAGGGGCTGGGGAGGGCAACGTGACGAAGAGATGGAGGGGGAAGGAGGGGAGGGATACTAGAGGGGAGCGGGAATGTAAGGTAAGGAGGACAGGCACAATGGACCGAGAGTCGCGGTGTGAGGATCGAGGTTCTTCAGCGCTGTGCGACATTTTGGGGCCCGGAGTCCGAGGACCGATTGGGGCCGCTCCCCAAGTCTGTTCAAAACGTGCGATTGCCGAATGCAAACAGCATTGAGCATCCCCCTTTCTCTCCTCCGTTCTCCTCCTTCTGGAGGCTCCCATGGTCGACAAACAGGAAGCGGCATAAACATGAACGTGTGGAGCTGCGCGCGGATTTCGTGGATCGGCGGTGGAGCCCCTGGCGGCGATGCCGGCGCCGCCCTTGGCGCGCTCCGCGCGCCAGGGAGGGGGATCCAGCGCCAATCCAGGAATTTCGCGCGGAGCTCCACAAGTTTATGCTTCTGCCGTTTCTTGATCCTCTACATGGGTCCCGATCACGGTGCGCTCGAAGCCAAAAGCCTGGGACAGCTCCCATGGTCCTTCCTGGTCATCGGTGGCGCGCCTGGGGGAAGTGAGAGGGATCGAGCCTTCTCAGAAGGCTCGGAAGTCCCCCAGCCTGCTGAGAAGTTTTCAAAGCCTTCACCGAGGACACAAAATGCTTGTCGGAAGGTTGAGAAGCCCCGCCGCCTTCTGAGAGGGCCTTCTCCTTCTCACTTTCCCCCCCCCTGCTCGCCGCC